TGGTTTCTCCCAGACAATACCTGTAATTCTGCATTTAAATGTTTTCATCATCTACCAGAGAAGATATTTGAATGGAGTCTTCCCTTTTGAAATGTAAAAATCAATTTAAAAACACATATATAACAGACTGACAAATTCACTAAGTAACTTAATTTGTTTCATCTACTCTTCTCTCGTTTTGTAGCTCCAAGTATCAGATGCAAATATAAAATGAATTCATTCAATAATCGAGATTACTTCCTAGACATGTTAATGTAATTTCTGAATGCAAATAAATGATAATTGATTACTTAGCAATAGTACAGATCCAATCAATCTATTTTAATAGTTTGAAAAAAAGGATTGCGACAAGCACCAGGGCATGAAATAAGTGATTAGTGAATTTAAGCATAAGCTTATTTTAATCTCCAATTAGCAGGTCATTTCTGTCTTTGTAACCCTTTTAAAGAGCACCATTAAAGTTACAGAGCAAAAAGCACTTGGTAAAACACAGATACTTCATCTAATAAAAGATCAAACCTGCCAGGGGTTATTATTGCTCTGGGCACTATGTTCTTTGCATGGCTATTCATTTAATGGGTAAGCTATTGGGACTTTGGTGGGGAGAACGCTTGTAAAAATAATTTTCCTGATATTTTACTTTGATTACTAAACCAACAGAATATTATTTCACATTTAAATAGAACCACATACAGAGAGAAGCAGTTGCTAATTTGTAGTTATTTATTTGCATGATGTTTTCCAGCAATTTCAACTGTAATGACTACACCATCCATCTGTTTGATATGGAAATTGGTTAGCAACTAGATTCCTTTTTTCATTCTTACAATATGCCGTCTACCTGCTTTGAATGAAACATTCTAGCTAAATCTCTAAGTGTTAGACATGACTATCATTCAGCATTCATCCCAGTTTCCTTCGACTGTGTATTTCTCTATCTCTGAGGCAAGAAGGTTATAAACTACACTTCCCAGACTCCCTTGCAGCTAGGGTTCTAGGCACAGATTAGGTCCCACCAGTGAAATAAGCTAGATGAAAAGCAAGGTGGCAGGTATCTAAGGAAGAGGTTTGCTGGTTTGTTTTTGTTATTGGTAGCAGTGTACAGTCACTGGCTTCCCGAGTGGAGCAGCACTTTGCACAGTTTCTCTAATCACTGGAACCCAGCTCAAACACTGCTCTTGATGTCAGCTGCTCTGGTGGTGGCTATGATTCCCAGCCTCCAGAAGGTGGCAATGATGGCAGCTTCCCTGGGGGCCAGTTCAGCAGTCCTGTCTGGGAGTCATCCTTTGAGCTCAGCCTGGATGTTCTCCTCTCTTTTAAGTTGCAACCTTCCCTTCCAACCTTCTTGTGGATACCTGATTCCCATATTAAACCACTTTCTGTATAAACTAGCTAGAACAGTTTCTGTTATCAGCAACCTGACTGACACAAGAAAGAAAGGGGAGGGAAGAGAGCATTCAATGCACAAGACAGCAGGCAATGCTTGGGGAGAACCGCGGAAGGGACAAGGTTGTGCCTATCTGTCACACATGATTACACCTTAAGGAACAGAAAGAAGGTCACATGCTGAACTATCCAAAACTATGCAAATCAAGGCCAACAGTCTTTCGGGCCTGGGGTTGAGGCCAAAGCATAATTATAAACGCTGAGAAGTAATCATCAGGACATCTGGAGAGAGAGAAAAAAACCACTGAAGAAAGAAATGCAAAGAAGGGAGAGAAGGAAGAAAAAGAAGGGAAGTGAGAAGGGAACACAGAATAATCAAATGAATAAAACCATGCACAAAGTGAACAGGTTCAGAAAACAACTCCTCACATGACCTTGCCCGGATGTTCCCCGATGGCAACCCACCAGGGGTGAGCGGTGCTTCCTGATGCCGCCCTGCAGGCCCTGGGTCGCAGCGTCCCAGAGCCGGGCTCAGGGGCTCTCAACGGCAGACTCCGGAAGTGAATCAGACCCTGCGGCTCCTGACTAGACACACAGAGTCAAATGGATAAATGTGTGTACTTCGTGTATTTCCAGCTACCCTACAGAGATAGCTATTCATACACAGTTTTAAAGTCAGACAACTAATAAAGCAAAGAGCTGACAGTCAATTATGGTAACTACTGGTTTAGGTTCTGGTCAGCTAAAAAAAAATGACTGTAAGTATCTTTTTTTACAGTCAATAGAATAGTCTGAAAAAAAGCCTAAGGTAAGATGTTTACACAAAGGAATTAAGAGTTCTACTGAGACTGTAATTCTAAACATAAAAAAGAAAAAGAAAATATGTGTGTCACAGCCCAGGCCTACTGCTCCTGCCTCACTGTCTCCTTCTTCAATGACACGGTTCTCTCCATAGTCCTCCCCACCAGCGGGACGCGACCCCCATCCCCCACCCCAACACACATACACACAGTCGGTCTCCCCAGGCACTGTTTACTGGGCCTTAAATGCTCTTCCTTCCCAGGACCTTCCTTCCCAACCCAATGTCACTTCCTGAAGCAAGCATTCCTGACCTCGCTCCCTCCTGCCTAGTGCATAGCACAGCAATAGTTGCAGCTTTACCTGTATGTATCGCCAGCAGACCTGCAGTCCATGAGGGGCAGGTCTGTCTGTCTTGCTAGTGCACCCTGAATGCTCAGCGCGGGCCGTAGGTGCCTCGGGAATGCTGAGCCGAACTGAAAACCTGAACGAAGGTGGCTGCTGCTTCATCCCCCAAGTGCCAACACTCCGTTTCTAGAAAATGACAGATGCTCTCTAGCTTTTCTCACTGTCCACGGGGAAAGCGAGAGATTATTAGCATGTTATGAAGGCCATCCTTTGCAGGGCATTAACAGAAATTAAATGTTTAAACACAATTTTAGAATTTCAGTGGGTCATCACCTCCCTCTCCCTAGTATCACCTCCTTATCTCCAAAACCGCCACAGCTAGCTTCTGTCGCCCTGGTAGGCAAAGGCCTGTCTGAGGTGGAGGAGATGCGAGTTTGACAGCGGGCGCCTCCATCTCCCAAAGGACGCTGACGGCCAAGCGTCCAGTGTCACCGTGCTGTGTACTGGAGGAGCAGAGCTGTGCCAAGACAGGGCCATGGCTTGTTCACCCTCAATTACGCAGTAGCCCTTCCGCAGCCCCCAGGAAATGACACTGAAGGCCACAGGCTTCTCCTTCTTACAAGGCGGCTCGCAATGGGCCCACAGACAGCCTACTCAGCATTTCACTCCAACTCTTCCATCGGCTCATCACAACCATGCGTCTTAGGAAGCATCCTTTTCCCCACTGCACAGAGGAGGAGATGGCTCAGAGCTGCGCTTCCCTCCAGGTCACTGAGTGCAAACTCTAAATTCCTTCTCTTTAGTGGTTAGGCCTTTCTCTTAGGAGGGAGGTAAGCACCCAAAGCGAATGCAGTCAACTCCTTTTGGAGACCTCTTAGCCTGAGGTCTGTGCTATATACGCCTGAATGACATTGAGAGAAGAGAAAACCGCAGAAGCGGAAGGATGCCCAACTGGTCATTTAGCGCCTCTATAGTTTCAGCCCTGCCAGGGACTGAACTATGCTAGCATCAGGCTTGCTTTTTAGTTCCTTCAGTCTGTCCGTAAACAAATGCCCTGTGTCTTAATACTTTCATGCACTGCTCTCTGAACACTTCTGAATTCATCTACGAGTGAAAACACAAGATGGCATAGACAAGTTCTGACAGCCTCATCTCAACGAGCAACACCAAGGGCTAAATTACAGTGAGAGCTTCACTCAATTCGTATTTAAAACACAGATCAGAACATCAACATGCAGGAAACACAAGGACTTAGTTGCAGTTTTTTCTCTTCAAAGCAGCGATAGAGCCCTTGACGGAATGTTTCCGATTTTGGAAACCAGCTTTCTAAAGGTGCATGTGAATTCTTTACGAGTGAAATGCATGTAAGTATTCACATATTCACTTATCAGAAATACTCTAAAATTTAATACCTTCTTTACAGCCCTCTTAACCACTATAAAATACGGCTGTAGAAGTACACATAACCCGGTGTCAGGTTGATTGGGATAGACCCTCCGCCTCTTCATTTCAAGGCAGAGTCAACCACGCAGGCAACATTTTCAGTTTTACATCCCTCCAACAAGTAAAACTGCATTAAAACCCTTGAACTACCTTGGCGCTTTCGCTAAATTAACACACACACACACACACAGGCACGCACAAATTATTTCCAAAGAACGCCATGATAGAAATTGACTCTTTCCAGAAACAGGGTTTCTTTTGAATCAAGAGAATGGGTTTATCAAGGGCGCCTTCCTCAAGTTTGGTCAAATGCATTCATAAAGCAGCAGCTCTCTGGAGCACTCTCCTCAGTGGGGAGACCCTTCCCAGCCCGCCAACTCTTGTAGAAGGCAAGGCGGGGCAGCGCCTCCTCTGCATGGTGCTCCCTCTGCACCGTGCTCCCTCTGAGCCACTCTAAAGCCTCCCCTGCCAACAGGACAGTCCGGTCCACTGTTAGGCATCAACAACAGAAAAACCTACAGTTCTCAGTTCTCATTTCCCTAAACTTCAAAACAAGTTATGCATTTATTAGCCAGTAACGTCATCCAAGGATTCCACAGGTTCACGAGTCACATGAATAAACAGTACTTTTAACAGCTGAAAGACGAGGTTAAATGCCAATCATTACCTGTGACATTGCGAATAACCTTAACCTCAAAAGGACATAAATACATTCTGGCTCTTGTGGATGTTTATAGCCTTACCCTCTTTCTATACAAAGCATTGTATACTTATAACATTTATCCCAAAGAGCCGAGGTAATACTAAAAAACGTACATAGAGCAAACATACAAATCCTACCATCCCACTTTGATATACCTTCTTAAACTGCATTTTTGTCATCCGCTTTGAATATTCTGACAAACTTTCTGATTTAAAGTTATCTTAGTTCCCCGCCTGCTGCTAGTTAAAAATCAATTCCCAAGTGGTAGCTTCTACAGGGAAAGATATACATGCACTCCACGAAAACACAAATTCATTTTCACCTTTAAGACACTAAGCGTGTCCCCTGCAGCTAGGAGCTCTGATTTATGCTGTGTATAACTGAAGCACATTCCGCAGTCCTATCTGCATGGCAGGCTCGCCTGTTTTGCTCACGTCCAAGTGTCCAAGGTAAACAGGTCACCCTCTGCGACTGGAATGAGAAAAGCACAGGAACTCACCCAGGCGGGCAGACTTCAATCGCGGGCGCGCGCGCGCGCGCTCGGGGCGACCTGTCGCGCCCCCTCCTCCCTGTCCCCGGAGGGAGGGGAGGCGCAGTGCTGGCTGAACTAGGCTGGACAGGCTTCCCGCCGTTCCCCCCTGCAGACCATTGTTAGAGTCACGATCGCGGAGCTTTCTGCTCGGTTTGGGGGCGGGAAGCTCCACCCAACTGAATAGTTGCAATGCTTTCCCGGAGCCGGGCGAAAAAGCTGCTTTTGCATCACAGCCGGAGGCTGTACCAGGTGTAACTTCCACCCCTTGACCTATTTGAGAGTGTGAGAATGAAAGCAATCGGAAAAAACAGACGGAGGGCGCCCGAGGTATCTGGACACCCGGGGCGCTGGTGCCCGAGTGGGAGCGCGCTTGCGCCCAGGCGCGCGTGGGGGTTCCAAAGAGAAGTTACAGCCAGGCCCCTGGAGGGAGGCCTCCCGGGCCGCGGATCAGTGCGGGGAGCTGGGGGTGGGGGGAGGGGTCGGTGGATCTTGGCCCCTCCGCAAGCTCCTCCTTCCGCCGCGGCCAGATCCTTGCTGCGCCCCGCCCTCCTCCGGGCGCGCCCAGCGCGGGAAGCGAGGCTCCTGGGACTCGGGGGCCTTCGGGGGACAGCGGCGACAGCAGCTAAGCGACCGCCGCAGCCCCGGGAGCGCCTTTCTCCGCCCCCATCTCCATCCCAGCCTCCCCGACCCATCCTCACCTCTCCGGAGATGGCGCTAGCGCTCGGGTAGTCCGGGTAGACCGAGGCCCGCGGACAGCCTCGGAGGGGCAGCGGGCGTGGAGCGGAGCCCGAGGATTGTCGTCTCCCTGCTTAGTCAGTTGGAACGCCCCGCCCAAACGTGCCCGGGAAGTGAGGCTCTGCCGCGGGATGGGGGTGACCTTCCTGCCTCCTCCTCTTGTTCTTCTCTGTCCCTTTCTGGCGTGGCCCGTCCTACGTGGGAGAGGACGCAGAGACGAACACACCTGGCCCCTCTGGAGCGCAGCAACGCAGTACCTGGGGTGACAACAACGTGACGCTTTAGTGCGTCTTTTCTCATTTGATCCTTGCAACCACCTACTTCAAGGGAAATATCCCCAACTGGGTATATTGGCCAACTGAACATCAAAGGGGTTAAGTCCAAGGTGCCACCGCTTAGACTCTCCATGCCTTTTCACTAAAACAGGATGTTTAATATGTTAAGAGTTTTGCAAAGCTAGTCCCATCAAAGTAACACCTAACCGAAGGAGGGGTGGAATTTAGAAGTTTCTACTTAAAAGTGGGCACAGACACACACCCGCACTACTTCTGTAAGAGCGGGGTTAACTACTTTCTGCCAGGTCCTTAGCATGATAATCTTCAACCTCTATTATTAAACAACCCGGTAATCATCACCCGCCTGTGCACTTTAAAGATTCTAGTGCCCAATATTGAAAAATCAGCACGGTTAGAAACTGTTGTGTTGCCTTTTGTGTGTGAGGTTGATGCTCCTGACTCCATGCGGATGGGGGGAACTTCATGTTGGGTTGCTTTTCCAGGAGTGTGCACGCGCGCATGTGTGTGTGTGGCCAACTATAACTATTCACATAGACTGGTGAACTAAGAATAGGTGGAGGTCAGTGTACATAGTTTGTGATTCTGGAATAGTTTTCTAGTGCCACAGTATATTGCAGGGGAGGGAATCTTTGGGCATCTTTTTAAAAAATATTTTTTAAAAAGATTTTATTTATTTATTTGGGAAGGGAAGGAGAAAGAGAGGGAGAGAAGCATCAACGTGTGGTTGCCTCTCACACGGACCCTCCTGGGGACCTGGCTGTCAACCCAGGCATGCGCCCTGGCTGGGAATCAAACCAGCAATCCTTTGCTTCACAGGCCAGCACTCTATCCACTGAGCCACACCAGCCAAGGCTGCTTAGGCATCTTTATCACCATGCCCAGGGTAATCCAATCAACATTTCTTTTTTCTGTAAGTGTCTCCTTTTTGCACTTAAAAAGAAAAGCAAACAATCATGCGCCTGCCTGGTTTTACACGTTCTTCTGAGGCTGAAGGCCAGCCCACGCAAGTGCCACTGCTCATTTTTCTTTCCGTTCAGCAGAGCTAAAGCTACCGTACGTCCTTGGATGCAGGATGCACACTGGATACTGCGATGTTCCCTGCCCTCTTCTGACAGTGCAGTAGGAGACAAAGCCACCTAAATAAGTATAGTATAGTGCCTGGTACATACATCATAGGTACCTAATGCATACTTATTGAGAGGATGAAATCTCGACGGAATGTGATAAATACAAAAGTGGTTTGGTTTAAATCCTGCAGGAAAACATAAGAGAAATCAGTTATAGGTGAGGTGGTCAGGGAAGACATTCTGGAGGTGGTGACAGGTATCAAATTGTGCTATGAAGAACTGGCTAAGGAATGGAAGTGAGGAAATGTGTTTGCTATGCTTTCAGGATGTGCAGAGGCAGAGGTTCCTCACCTTTTGCAGGTAATAGGCCCCTGTGAGAGTCTGAGGGATGCTTTGGCACTCTCCTGCGTGAAGAAACAAATGTAGAAATATATGCATACATTTTCTGAGATATCACAGACTGGCTAAGGCAGATTAGTGGACTCCTTAGAGGTCTGTGGACTTCAGTTACCATTTTCTTGTTTGGAGACAGGAAAAAAATAAAGAGATTATTTTCTTTGGGGCCATCATGAGAGGCATTTCCATGGCCACTAATAGAATGCGGGTAAATGGCTGGGGGAATGGAAAGAAAATTGTGCAGTAAGGAAAATGTATACATTTGGAGGCATAGCAGTTCCTCTTTGAAGCTGGACCTTGTAAAATTTTTGTTCTTTTTGTGCATGAGAATTTCAGTTTCATCCCTCAACAAAAGAGGGGACGACATAGATAAAATGCAACTGTCAAGCATTGGCAGTTACTAAGGCTAAGTGGGTACTCGGGGTTATTGCACTCGTATCTCCTTATTTATGATGTTTGACAATTTTCCTGAAAAAATGTTTAAGTAATTTTTACTCTGAGGTAGACATAACCAATTCTATGACATTTCTTAACTTAGCTTGTTAAAAGGATGTTTTGTATTTTAAAAACAAAAAAGGAAACAAAACAATAACAAGTATGCTAGTGATGCCATACACAAGATGATTAATGATAAGTGCATTCTCTATAGAAATAGTAGGTTTTTCTCTTGCAGTTAATTATGAAGTGTTTTAGCAACTGTTTCAACAAGTGTCCTCCTGTTTCTTTGTAAACTTACACTTCATTTCATATTGCTTAGTTAAGTCAGTTATTTTATTATTACATATATTTATATATAATATTGTATTGCTATATATAATTATGCAATAACGTGTAATATATGATTATGATTGTGTTGTTTTGTCAACTCAGCTCATCATTAACTCTCTGTGTGCGGTACACAGCTCTAGGGGAGCAGATTGCAGGCCACGGTTCTCTGGGTACTTGTCCCGCTCCCTTCTGAGAAAGGCAACGACGTGGTCCCTGACACACAGGGCGCCATACAATCCGTCAAGTGACTAACTCAACCAAGGATTCCTGACCACCGGAAGGAGCTGTCTGGTTTGTCCATTGGCCCTGCAAGGCGGAAGCTGGAGGAACACTGCTGGATAGGCATGGGCAGTATTGGATGGAGATGGTAAGTACTAATCAGATTTTTTCCCAAGAGTCTTATAGGCAAGGTCTGGATCTGAACCCAGGCAGGGAGTGCTCCAGAGCCAGCGTTCTTAACCGCTCTGTTCACTGCCTCAGGAGAAGCAAAGACAGAGTTAAAGTGAGCCACGTGCATGATTTAGCTTAGTCATACTGTAGTTGCTATGGATGCCTTGACAACTGAGGGGCTCACCTTACCATGTGACCTGGGGCTGCTGTGTTTCCTTGTTGATCTTTCAGTACCTTCTGAATTGCTTATGGCTGTAGGCACTATTGCTTGCTCTTCCTTACTTCCTCCTGTAGTTGCATAACAAAGTAGTATCCGTGTAGATAATCCCTTTCGCTTCTTTATAACCTGAATGAACACAACCACGGGATAACAAACTGATTTCTTGTAACACTGCCCTAACCGGGAGTTGAGCTATAACTAGCCTGTCTATCCTTTTGGGGTCTTCTTTCCTCTTAATAAAGCATAAGAGATACTTTCTTAGAGATGTTACCTGGAAACAAATTTTTACAAGTCAAATCACATTTTCCAGTTGATGTTTATTAGTAAAATCTTTTTCCACAAAAATAACATATTTCTCTCTGAACCATTATGAAAATTATATCCAGAATTTAGCAGCTGTGATCCTTAACCATTTGTTTACTAGAAATATGGAAGGAAATAGGATCGATAAATACTAAAACCAAATTATTTCATGTCCCTTCTGCTTGAGGCCAATTACCAGCTCTTTAGGGCTTACTAAATCCCACAAAGGCCTAGGCCAGGGTGCAGCCGCCCTCACAGCCTGGCCCAGCCCACCTCTCTGGGCTAAAGGAAAATCACAGGGTTCCCGTAGCTTAGGCAGCCCTGAACTTTACACCTGTAGTTTATTAAATTATGGGATTTATGCAAAAATTTAGGCAAGTTATTTCCCTAGAGCTTTTGACCATTATCTCACTTATTTTGTCCTCATTGCCTATCACAGGTCTTGGCACTTAGAGTTCAATGCATATATTTGATTTCATGAGTTGGCATGTATTACTATTCCTCTCAAAATGTGCTGCGCGATGCTTATGTAACTATTTCCATTCATTTCAACTTTGGTCATCAACTACAAAAAGCCCCGATCTAAGTATTGGCTATTTAACTGTTTGGGCAGCTTACCTATTCTTACTGTGATGAAGACTTTGAAAAATATTGTTGTGTTTTTATCCATGTTTCTCATCCTTTCAAAGTCATGCCATACTCTTGAGTAATTTTTAACTAGTTTAGCATGATAGCATCTTAGTTCATTTAATTACACAGCCAAGTATTCCTTGGACAGGTGTCCTAGGCCAGGCACTGTGCTAGGGAAGCCATGGTGGGCAAAACGAATAAAATGCCTGCCCTCATATGACTCACGGTTTAGTGAGATGACAGTCGTTAATCAAATAATCACATCTGTCATACATAATATGTGTCATTCCAAAACAGGAACAAGTATCTCGAGGGAAAGTTACAGAATATCATGAGAGATCACATGTCCCCTCTCTCTCCTAGAGGGGACACAGGTGAAGGAGTCATCTTTGGGTCCTCAATTTAGCCCAGAGCCAGGCATATGGAGGTGTTTGATAAGTTTTTGTTGAAGGAACATGTGCATCTACTTCTGACATGTAAGTGCGCAGCACTTCCTGTATTGCGCGGTACTGAGTAAAATACACGGGCGTGTGTTCCCTCAAACGCCGATCTCAACACCCTGACACTTTGCGCTGTTGCCTTTGTTTCTGTGACCGCAATCCATGGGTCACCTATGTCCAAATGCATCCTGTTTTCTTTGCTGGCATGACAACAGGTAACTTATTATCCCAGTAGCATTATCAAGAACATTCTCTACTTTGTGGCAAACGTTCTCACACACACACTAGTACTTTGCTGTTCTTATCAGCACAAGCCCGCTATCCCTCTTCCTCATAGTTTGCAAGGTTTGCTGAAGAAACAAAAGAACATTGTTTCTTTTGTCTCACAGGAAACCGTATCACCCTGCACTATCCTCTATGTCATTTTCCTACTTCCTGCCCATCTATAGCTATTTGGGTATTGCCTTTGCATCCTTTTCT